TGAACATCAACTAGTCCAGTTTTTAGTTCTTTCTTTTGATATGGTGAAAAAGCAACTTGTAGACCGCTTTGAGCCAACTCTATGTATGGCATGCATCTTGAGCAACTATTGTGATACGAAAAAGCAACACCAGTACAAAAATAGGGCAACTCTAGTGGGAAAGAAAATGCAGGACCATTGCACAGTTTTGCAGGTGCATTGCAACACCAAAACATAATTTCTCTATATTGTATGCATTGAAATCTGCTTGGCTTTCTTTCCTATCCTAGTATAAGTTGCTTGGGGTTCATGAGCAACCCTGATCAGGAAAGTAACCTGACAACTCGAACAGTTAACTGAAGCAACTATGTTCATTTTTGAAGCAACTCTGGGAAAAAAAGAGCTGTGCAACCGTATCTGTTCAGAAATTCTAGAGTTATCTCTACCAGATGTGAGAACATGGCAACTCTAGTACTAAAACACATGCAACTTCCCTGTGCATTAAAGCATGAACTATCAGGAAACATAAAAAGTCAAGTTATAAAAAGAGGTAGAAAGTATTAACTTGCATGTGTTAACACACAACTTTTGCCATATCAGTATGGTTCTCGCTAAAAAGAAGACACAAACGACAAACGCACAAAACAAAGGACGCGTCATAAACAGGTTCAAACAATCCCACACTAAGATACTTTGCTACATTCCATATGGTCTCACTAAAAAAATAAAAAAGACATAAACTACACCAAATGATAGGCCTCCTGCTCCTGGTAAGCTCTCCGTCAGATATGCACATTGTTTCTCATCATCAAAAGTTGTAATCTGCCGCTGAAAAAAAGGCACAAATGAATCAGCGCATGTCGTGTAGAAACAAATCTTTGCTGCTGTATATGTGTGTCATACTGGTAGAAACATAACACATGTAAGAAACAAGAAGAAATAGGAAACTTTTGAGAAAAAAGAAGATATGAATTGCCTCTGTTTAACTTTATAGTTGCGCAAACAAGTGTTTATAGTTGCTGCTTTATATTCTACAACTAGTTTGTTCAAAAAAGGTCATGCATGCTTTTGTGGTGGGCTAACACACAATTTGTTGCATGTTGATTGTTCATGATGATTGATCTGAATGAACCATCACTTGACGTAGAGTCCATCAACATTTCAGTCGAGTTGGGCGCACCCTTCTTGCATGCAGGGGATGAACAGGAGCATCAACATTTGGAGGAGGAGGTTGGTGAGTCTCCTGACTCCAACGTTGGTTGTAACACTACTCATGTCCCGAACAATTGTGTTGCCGCTCCCCCACCTATGGTTGCTCCTGCTAATGCTTTAGTTTATGAGGCACATGACTTGGAAGAAGAAGAAGTTGGATCACAGCCACAACAACCTTATGTTGGCATGCGCTTCGACACATTAGAGGATGCGAGGGAACACTACAATCGCTACGCTTTGATGAAGGGCTTTTCAATCAAGTCAAATACGTCTTACAGGTCGTCCTACACAGGTGTGGTGGAAAAACAGCAATTCTGCTGTAACAAGTTCCGCAAAGTAGTAGAGAGGGTTGGGATCCCGGATGTTCCCTCGTCGAGCAAAAACACTACATGTCCAAGCTCACCTGAACAAGATGTTGAAGAGGATGTCGAGGAACGCACTTTCAAGAAGAAGAGGAAACGAGAAACTGTGAAGCAAACAAAATGTCGTGCTAAGATGGCGGTGAAGCTTAAAGATGACAGATGGGAGGTTATCACTTTTATTGCAGATCACAACCATCCACTGATTGAGAAGCCATCGCTTTCGAAATACCTCCGTTCTCACCAAGGAATCCCGCCGGAATAAAAAAAATTACTTACTCACCTAAACGACTGCAAGTTGACAGCAGGTACAGCTCACATTGCGTTAAGTCTTTTTTACCACAGAACTGTTACTTATTCCTGCATCAAGTGCCTTAACCTGAGCCAACTATGTTCGTTTTTATGCAAATATGTTCATTTTTTGTGCAACTCTGGTAATTAAAAAAACATGACCCAAAACAGAAAAACCTTGGTGTTGCCTATTCCTACCTCAACTACTTGGGTTTGTTTCCTATCCTAGTATAAGCTGCTTAGGATTCATGGGCAACCCTGATCAGGGAGAAAAACTGGCAACTTGAATAGTAAACTGAGGCAACTATGTTCATTTTCCGTGCAACTCTGCAAATAAAAAAAAGACATCACCCATCAGAAAAAAACTTGGTGGGATACAGGCTTGGTTCTTATTCTGCTTATGCGTAATTGTTACTTTATGTTATCTATAAAAAACATGTTGCCCACTGCATTGTGGTTAGTTAGTCCTGAAAAACACAAGTTTCTGTTTTTTATGGCAGGAAAGATGATGATGTTAATGTCATCATACTACGGCTCGGAGTTGATTGTTCCGTACACAACTAAAGCCATCCATAACCACTGTTCGAAGCTCAACGCCCCAACTAAAGACATTGACATTGAAGAAACATTAAACTACTTTTGCAAGGTGATGGAAAATGACCTAGGATTTTTCTTTAAATGCAAGACAGACGCGAAAGGTAGGATAGAAAACTTGTTTTGGGTGGATGGTGCAGCACGGAAAGCATACACGGAGGCTTATCATGATTGCGTGTCATTTGATGCAACTTATCTCACGAACATGTACAATATGCCGTTTGCCCCCTTCATTGGAATCAACAGACATGGGCAGTCAATAATGCTCGGGTGTGGATTTGTTCGGCAGGAACTAGCCTCAAGTTATGACTGGTTGTTTGATGCTTTCCTAGAAGCAATGGATGGTTTGGCTTCGGACAACATCATCACGGACCAAGATGTTGCTATGGCACAATCTATCGAGAGGAAGTTCCCAGCAACGATTCACCGTTGCTGCCGTTGGCATATAATGAAGAAAGCACAAGAGAAGCTTGGCCCTGTGTTGGCCAGGAACCCGGATTTGGTAAAAGACTTCAATGAATGCATTGACTTCAGTTTCACCCCGGCTGAGTTTGAAAGGAAATGGGTTGCACTTCAATTGAAATATGAAGGTCTTATGCATGGTCACTTTGAGAAACTCTATGAATATCAGGCTACATGGGTGCCGTGTTACTTCAAATTCAGGTTCTTCCCTTTCCTTCAGTCAACGCAACGCAATGAAGGGTTCAATGCTGTGTTGAAGCACTATGTGAACCCACACAAGTCAATTCTCAACTTCGTCAAGCAATATGAGAAGATTCAGGTACACATACTCGTGAGGGAGGGCGGGAACGACTACCGGACAGAGAATCTAGAAGGACAAAGATGGCCGCGTTTCCCCATTGAGAGGCATGCCTACAAAGCATACACTAGGGACATCTATGTGAAATTTAGAACTGAGTTTCAGATGATTGGCCAGTATGATGTGCGTCCTGCTAGAATCAACTTCTATTACCTTGAGCCCAATACATAAGAAGTTCTAGGGTATGGCTCGAGGAAGTACCTAGTCACAGTGAGACCAGAGCCAGCTATCTACGATTGCGAATGTTGCAAGTGGCATAGGGATGGCATGCTTTGTTGCCATGTCTTGAAAATCTTCACACACCTTGGCGCTAATGAGATACATGAACACTACATCAAGCGCCGCTGGACGGAAGATGCAGTGCCAAGTGCACCACCGCCAACTAACGAGGGCCCTCCGCATGACTTGCCCGCTGAGTCAGAGAAACAAGTTCCACAAGTGACTCTGACAATGGATTTTGCAAAGCTAGCCAAGAAAGCAATGACTAGTGATGAGGTAGCCGCTGCAGTTAGGAAGC